TCATTGCTCCAGTCACTTTATCAGTCCATCTCATCGAAGGTCTCCCTCTTTTTCTCTGTACCTCCACCCTTCCAAGCATGATGTCCTTCTCCTTGCAACATGCCCAAAGTATGTCAGACAAAACCTCAGAGTCTTTGTCTCCAAGGAGCAGCCTGACTTCACCCTCTCTAGGATGAACCTGTTTGTTCTTCTGACAGTCCATAGTATTTTCAACTCTCTTCTCCAGCACCACAGCTCAAAGGCATCAATTATCTATCATCCCTAGTGATCAGTCAGCTCTCTGATGCATGACAAGCAATTGCGAAGACTATGGTCTGGATCAGGAGCATCTTAGTCTCCAGACTGGCGTCGTTGCTCTTCAGTACTCTGGAGAGGTCTCTGACAGCTGTCTTTACCAGTGCAGTTCGTCTCTTGATTTCCTGGCTGCTGGTACCAGCAGTGGTGGATTGTAGAGCCAAGTAAACTAAAATTGTTAACAGCCTCCATTCTCTTCACATTGCAGTTAGCAATCAGCACGCTGGAAAAAAATAAAGTGAGGCTGTGTTGGGGGTGGGGAGGGACTTTATATGTTGTTAAGGTAGCATTTAAAGAAAGACAAGCACTTCAATCTACTTCCCTAACAAGACCCACAACTTCGGGGGAGGGGGGCAGAAAGAAAGACTAGCATGAAGGGAAGAGGTTCTCCAAGCTTGGGGAACAGGAAGGCCCTTGGGCTTGAACCCCAGGAGACCTGGGGAGGGAAGGGTGAGAAGTCAGACAACGAAGTCAGGGAGAGGGGCAGAGTGCAGGTCAGTGGGATCCACAGAACTTCCTGTGACGATGGAAGCGTCCTCTATCTGCTTTGTCCTGTCCTACCTGGCCACAAATGGCTCACGAGAACTTGAAAAGTACTAGGGTAACTGAGGATACGGATTATGACGTTTTTGTTCTTGTTCCAGACCCAACGGATGACTTGCTGTTGCCAGCGACTCATAGCGACCCTATGCACAACAGCCCTAAACCCTGCTCTATCCTGTGCCAATCTTATTGTCTCTGACACACCTACCCCCATCACTCCAGTCGCTGAATCAATCCACCTCATTGAGGGTCGTCCTCTCCTGCGCTGTCCCTCCACTGTCCCAAGTATGATGTCCCTTTCCAAGGACTGATCCCGCCTTGCAACATGTCCAAAGTATGTCAGACAAAGCTTCAAAATCCTTGCCTCCAAGGAGTATCCTGGTCTAACCCTCTCTAGGATGAATCTGTTTGTTCTCCTAGCAGCCCATGGTATGTTCAGTACTCTTCTCCAGCACCACAGCTCAAACATCAATGCTCCTTCTATCATCCCTAGCTAGTCATTGTCCAGCTTTCTGATGCATAGCATGTAATTGCAAAGACTATGGCCCGGATCAGGTGCACCTTAGTCTCTAGACTGACATCATTGCTCTTCAGTACTTTGGAGAGGTCTCTGAAAGCAGACTTTCCCCGTGCACCTTGTCTTCTCATTTCCTGGTTGCTGGTACCAAGAGTGTTGATTGTGGGTGGAGTCAAGCAAACTAAAGCTGTTAATAGTCTCAGTCTCTTCTCTATCATAATGCTGCCAATCGGCCTGGTGGTGACTACAGGCTATAATAATCTGGGGGTCAAGGGGTGTGTCCACCAGTGTCTGTCAGATCAGCAAGGCTGGCCATTTGGGGGATCTTGTGATTTGTTTCACGTTTTTCTCCTGCTCTGTCCAGGGGGTCCTCACCTGTGACGCCTTGAAGAGCGGTCAGCAGGCTAGCCTGGCACCTGGGGATTCTGGTCTGAGGTTACCTGGAGGCTAATAGTCACATGGCCCATTAGTTCTTTGGACTGATTGTTTCGATGTGTCTTTTATTTTCTCCCTTCTTCTTTGTTCCGGACCAATAGCTGCACCTTAGATGGTTGTTCCCAGGGTTTTTTAAGACCTCAGTTGCTACTCACCAAAGTAGCATTTAGAACATAGTCTTGGTGAACTATGTTTAGGTCCAGGTAAGGAGATGGTGTGATAGTCAGCCAGCATCTCCTTGGGAGAAAGGTGAGCAATCTCTTCCCATGCAATTTGTAGGCTATGAAAGCCGGTGGTGGATCATATCTAAGTTAGTTCCAACTCAGCTACTATCAGCTGTGTTGCTGACATCATAGTCTGCTGTGTGTTGCATGTTGCAATGTTAACACAAACACTGACAGCTGGAATCCCCAGGCTGCTCCTCTCCAGAAAGATGGTGGTCTTCTCCCTTGAAGATTTACCACCTCAGAAACCAAGGGAGGGTCCTTATAATTCAGAACCACACTGGGTTCGGTCAGTTGACCTCATGTCCCCTGAAGCTAGGGTCCTGAGCCCCTAGGATCAGCAACTCAATTCCCTCAGGGGAATTTTCTTCTTCTAATTACATGTCAGAGTAACCCACTCTTATGGCCAGGGGCTGTTGCATTGGGTAAGACTTAGCTAGGCCACCTGCAGAAGTTAGCTCAGCTTTAATGACTTCCTCATGACACAGGAAGTCTTTAGAGGGTTTGGAAGGAGAATGATTTGATTGACAGACCCTCCAGGTGGTTGTGTACTGGGGGGGCAGGACAATGACAGAGGGGAAATCAGATGAGAACTGCAGGACTCTCTGGGGTCTCAGAGGCTGGGGGCAGGAGCCGGGTCTTGGCAGTGGTGCATCATGGGAGCTGAGGGTTGAAGGTCAGGGAACAGGGACAAATAGCCCAGATGGGCACCAGGGTATGGGGTAGGTTAGTTGAGGTTTAGGTCGGGGGTGGGGAAGGGGCTGGGGCTATGGCCGGGGTGTGGTGATGGCTGGGCTGGGGCTGGGTGAGATACAGTTGGGTAGGGATGAGGACAGAGGGCTGGGGGCTGGGGCAAGGACTAGTCTTAGCTTGGAGGGACGTGGGTGTGGCCAGAATAAGGGCTAACAGCTGAGGGCCCAGAACACAGTTAAATAGAAGTGGGGAAAGTGGGCTGGAGGTGGGGAGCCATGTAACCCAGTGGGGGGAGGGGGCTCTAGGGAAGGAGATGGGGGTGTGGAGTAGCCTGGCATGCTGCTAGGTTGGGGCTCAGGCAGGTGGGAGTGGGGCTGGGCTGTTACCCTGATGCCACATGGAGTAAAGAATTGGGGTGTGGGGGTTTCGGGGGTTTCTAAAGGCACCTAGAAGACTAATGCAAGGGTGATGCCACATGGGTGGGGTTGGAAGGGTGCGCTAGGCCAGCCAGGGCGCTGAGGGAGAGGTAGCAGGGGGAGGCAGGGCAGATCCCTAGAGGAACTCATTTGCTGAGTGCAGGACCACGGGGCTGCCCCCTTAAAGCTGCAGGGAGATTCGGAGAGGATGGGGAGATTAAAGAGCCAAAGGGACTGGACGCTGAGCCCCAGCAGGGGGCACAGGACTGAATGGCCTCAGAGGAAGCTGGGTGTGGCTTAGGCCAAAATCAGCGAAGTTTGAGGCGCCGGTCTGCAAACCTCCCTGCCCGGTCCCTCCACCCCATTCTCCTAGATAGCAAGACCAGAACTTAATGCAGAATTTCACTTTATTCAAGGGTCCAAGATGGCACGGGACACGAGAAGAAGAAGGACCTACAATTGCTATGGGGAAGTAATACTGGGCCTTCCGGGTCTTGGCCATCCCTCCCTCGCCCCAGGCCCCTCCAGGCCGCCGCTGCTTCAGTATTTGGGAGGCCTTGGAATTTCTTCCGGGCAAGGCACTCTCTGCGCTGGGCGGAGGCGGGGTCCATGCGTAAGGCAGGATCAGTGTCAGGTTTCACACTCGGGTGTCCTCCCAATGAGGCACAGTCCGGTCCGGGTCCCAGGACGCGGGTGGGACGCAGCTCCTTCCCCAACACTGAGGCACATCTCCCCTGGGGACGGAAACTGGAACACGGATACGCACAGGCCCCCAGGGACGAGGGCACTGGGCTGGATGCTGGTGCAGATTGCAGCTGAGGGGACACAGCGCTCAGCAGGGAACCGATCACGTCACACATACTGGACAGATACGGGGCTGAAGCATCTGCGAGGGGCCGAGGACAAGGGGCTGACCCTTCCACGGGGACACGTCCTCCCATAAGACACCAAGACTCCATTCTTCACGGCGCCTCCCCCCCATGTCATCCACTTAGAGAGGACCCTCATCTTAAGGGGGGGTGCAAACGCAGTGCTCCGGGCCAATGACCCAGTAAGAGTGGGGTCATATTGGGACCCAGAGGCGGCCTGGCCAGAGAGGCCAAGACGACTCGGACATCTAGGTTTGTGGAAATGCCCCCAAACTACTGAAAATGTCAGGAACTTTGCGGAGGGGGGGTTAGTGTTAGGCACCCGCAGGGCAGCCGGGCTGTGAGGCGGGTTCACTTGTGGGCGTGGTCAGCACACCAGGACTGGCTGTGCCTGTCTCCTCCCCTCCCCCTCGCCGGCCACCTCTCTTCCTCCCTTTCCCCCTCTCCTAGTCCCCACTTTGCCCCTTTCCTTCCCCCTTCTCCTTCCTTTTTCCCCAGTCACGTTCCAGTTTTGAGGTTCGCAGCCCAGGGACACGCTTGACCCCATATATCCAGCGGGCAGAGCCTAACCACCGCCCCCACCCCAATCAGATGGGGGAGGGCAGGGTCCGCTCGATCTTGGCCAGCAGCCTGTGTCCTAGAACATCAGGCACCAGCAAGGCCACAGAGAACGCACTGTCCTGCCTTCCCACAGGTGGCCGGTGCCCCAGGACACTCTAGTCTTCTGCCAGCCCGTGGGTTAGGGTGGTGGCCCAAAGCCATGCCCCCCCTTAAGACAACTTTACATCACTTGGGGCGCCCCTCTTAGAGTCGACTCATCTGCAAACGGGGGGGGGGGAGAGGGGGAAAGGAAGGACTGCGGGAATGACCAAAAAAGTACAGGTGAAGACCAGCGACAGGAGCGCAGCGCAGGACGCGAGAAGCGAGAAAACACCCGGCCGGAACTGGGAGGAAGGAGGGAAGGGGCTCAATGCGGGGCCTGCGCGGGCCTCCGCGCCTTTGGCTTCCTCTAGCGGCACTTGGGGGGCAGCCTGCGGCCCCGACGCACCTTCTTCCCGCGGACGGAGCGGGAGCCGGCGGGCGGCTGGCTCTTGGTCTCGCTGGCCTTGCCGTGGGGCCCCGAGCTGGGGTTCGCCTTCTTCTTCTTGCTGCCTGCTCCATCATCCTGGGCTGAGGCCCGGCCCCCGGCCTT